GGCCGAGAGCTCGCGGGTGGGCCGGCCGCTCGGGATGCGGGGCGTGGAGGGCAGGCTCCTCTGGCCGGCCGGTCCCGGGAGCGCTCCGCCGGGGGAGGGGCGCCCATCCTGGCCGCCTCCACCTGAACGATTGCATCAGCTGCTTGTTCTGCGGCGCTTCTGGTTAGTAAAATAAAGATTAGGTTTCGGCAAAATGTTACTAGCAGTCGGTTCAGTTGGAATTGTATTTCAAAGCGTTTAAAGAGGCAAAAGCCCCGGAGGCTGCGGCGCAGGCGCACGAGCCTCCCTGAGCGGCGGCGCGCACTGGCGGCGGAGCGGCGACACCTCCCGGAGCCGTCCGGGAGCGCAGCGCCCAACTCCGGGCTCGGGTCTCCTGGCTGCTTCTTGCCTCTTCCTCCTCTTCCTTCTCCTCCTTCCTCCTTTGAATATGCTTTTTCTGACGTCCTTTTGCTTTAACTTTTCGGACAGAGCTTTCCACACTTTTCACTCTCCCTTAGTCGGGATACGTCCCTGAGGTGTTTTTTAGGGTCTACATTCTTCCTCCACAAACCCTTCCTTTGGAAAGTCCCCCCCCCCCTTCTCCAAAGGATCAACGGAAATAGGAGAGAGCTCTAAAAGAGTTGGGGCGGCTGTCATTCTCTGCTGTATTCCGCTGTCCAGTGGGCCAGCTTTCCCTTGACCACGGGCGACGGGAAGCCCCGGGTGGCTGGCGGGAGTTCCCCGAAAGAACATTCAGGAGCCGGTAGCAGACCAGGGCCACTCGAGGTCGTGGTGTTAGGGGGCAAGAGAAGGGTAACAGTGAGCCCCGTAGCCCAGATCTGCAACTTGAATAGCAGTTTTCTTTGAATCACTTAACCTCGTCTCCTCAACCTCTATCCTTGGGTTATCGGGTTCAAGGTATCTCCCTTTTCAAGTTAAACCTAGAGTTCTGCACTGCCACATGACCCCCTGGGACAAGGAGGCTAGTTCAAAGAGAGTTGCCTAGGAAACAGTACTCCCGCCCAGAAGCTGCGTGGCTCCCATCCCTTGCCTCGCCCCGACCTTGGGGCTCGTGGAGCTGGGGCGCACGGCCGGGCGGGCTGTCCTGGGGTGCGGGGCAGCGGCAGCCCCCAGACGGCGTCGCTCACCAGGACCTCTTCACTCCCGGTGTCCCAGGGCCCGGCAGAATGGCGGAAAGGTGCGGCACAAGAGGCAGGCCCTGCAAGACATGGCGCGGCCCCTCAAGCAGTGGCTTTACAAGCACCGTGACAACCCGTACCCCACCAAGACCGAGAAGATACTCTTGGCTCTCGGCTCGCAGATGACGCTGGTGCAGGTAATCGGGGCACCCACCCATCAAGCCCCTGATCCGGAGCGGGCACACTTAGCGCGCTTGGGCGGTTCTCCACATGGAGCCTCTCCCTGGGGAAGGATGGATTCTCTGGCTCCTGCGCTGAGGATGACGAGGGGTTGGCACAGGGCGGTTCTGCTGCTGCAGGAGAAGAGCTTCTTCTCTCCCTTTTCTATCAGTTCAGTGCACGTGCTCGGTCCAGGAGGGATTGTATGATATGATGTTAGGGAGGGGAGTGAAAAGTCACCTGCAGAGTTCTGCGAAGGTAGCGGGAATCTGGATTTACGAGCCACGTATAGATGGATCGAGATAATGCTACCTACAGGCAGTGATTTTGAAACTTTAGGGTGCATCAGAATCGCCTGGCAGGCCTGTTAAAACACAGATTGCTGGGCCTCATCGTCGAGGTTTTGATTCAGTAAGTGTGGAGTGGGGCTGATCATTTGCATTTCTGATAAGTTCCCAGGTGATGCTGAAGCTGCTGGTTCTGGACCCCACGTTGAGAACGGTACAGCTTGGCGCCCCATAGTACAGCTCAAATACAGGATAACTGTCAAAATTATCATTACTGACAGAGCTAAAGGGGGGGTGGAAAAGCAAAAATTGGTTTTTGAATTTTTCTTTTTTTTTTTTAATGAGAAGTATCGTGGGCATGAGCTGGAATCTACAGCACTCTGCTGGTGATTTTTCTGTGCTGAAGCAGAGGAGTCAGATTTTAGCTGGTGTGAAGAAATGGTGCAAGTTTGTCTCTTCTGTAGCTGAATGAAGCAGAGGAGTCAGATTTTAGCTGGTGTGAAGAAATGGTGCAAGTTTGTCTCTTCTGTAGTGAATAGCACTTACTTTACATTCGACTAGCTTTTCCAAACATAATCTTATTTGCTGTTCACAGAAACATGGTGATGTAGAGCAGTTACTTTCAACATTTTACAGATAACATACCCAAGGCACATAGAGGTTAAGTGTCAGTAAGGGGAAGAAGTAGGCCTGGAAATAAAATATAATTTTAGATCAAATGCTCTTTCCATCACTCCATATTTTTCTTCAGTAAGTAGGATGGAATGAACTTTTATGCATGCAAACAGAACAAGTTTATTCAGAAAGAGGAGGAGGGGTTAGATGAGCTGAGATGTTTTATACCTTACAGGAGCACTACATGACTGCGTTTGTGAAATT